GGGAGCGAAATCATCGTCAAGTTGTGTTTCTTGAATTATGGAAGTAGATTCTTGAATTCTTGAATGAAGTTTGAGGATTGTTGGGGGTTGGGAACCAAATCTCCAACCAACCAGGCTGCCCAAAACAATAAAAACAATTTTCCAGCTGCATCCTAGTTGCTTCAAGTTCTTGGCTGTCTAAAAAAAAGAAAGGGAAACATTCAGCCATGAAATTGACCTTGAAGACCTCCCGAAATTGATTGTTAGGGGTGTCAAAAGCATCCCAAACTTCTGAACATCATCAGCCCCCAAAACAACCACTAAACCCTACTCCAAGTCCAAGTTGGATTAGGTTAGTTTAGTCCTAATTGAACCAACTGTCCAAATTGTTTTGAATTTCATTTTTGATAGCCAATCAAATCCTTATTGGGATAGGAAAAGGGGGAATATTTCCAGGATTAATCCAAGAGCTTTTGCTTGTCAATACTTCCTAAATCTGGTGCAAACAATAACAAGCGGCAACAACATCCATCGGCTAGTGTCTTGAGTCCCATCATTGTAGTATTCTTGAGTTGTTTGTCCAGATTATTTTTCCAGCCTCTTTCCAGTCATAAAAATTCATTTTAAAATTCTTGGCTTAGTGTTTCAAATTCCAGTTTTAAGCGTCGGTCACTTGGTCATTGTTGTGTCATACAACTAGTACTCTTCCCGCAAAAAAAAAATTTCAGCTTTGTTTATTCTATTTTCCAGTCTCCATCAAACCTGACCATGCCCACACTTTTAGTTCTAGCCTCGTTTACTTCACTCCAAATCTGATCGAGCCACATTTGAGTGGGTCTTGTGCGAAGCTAGTTGACTTTTTGGGGAAATTCTTCTAATTTCTTCAAGGGAAGCAAGCGGGGCCTTGAGGACAAATTTGTGAGGACTACTTGAGCAAAAAATTAGAGTGAAAACATGAGTGACGAGCACATACACGTGAGCTTGTGTGTTGTGAGGAATTTTTTTTCTTTGCTAATCAATTTTGCAGGTCACTTAACCATGTCTTGTGGAGTTGCATCTCATTCATATCATCAAGAATTCTTAGAGAACGAGCCTCTTAAGAGGAGGGGTTCCAAGTGAATTATTTCCAAGTACTCTAATTCCACGCATTCAATCTCCGAGCATTCACAACATGATTTCCATTCACTTCGGGAGGAAATGGATCATTTTCGCGCTTTGTGTGTATATGAAAGACATAAGCATACTTGTAATAAGTATGAGGAGGAGCAAAGGAATTTGCGTCAAGCATCTAAGCCGAGGTCTTCGTCAAGCAAACGAGCTTTATCTAAGGAGTGTTGTGACAATCGAGTCATGGAGTCTAAGAATTCTCGAATTGAGACAAAGCCTTATGAATCAAAAGCTGATTTCCAAAGCCGGACTAAAGAATTGGTTGATTCTATGATGGGAGAAATTAGCCAAGTGCTGAATTCATATTTTGAGCAACTTAATCATGTGTCAACCGATGGTAGTAAAAGAGATGTTCCTTCTAGTCCACCATTAATTGAAGAAGTATCTATGAATGCTAGTAACCTTGAAGTCCCACCTACACAAGTTAGTTGTCATGAGCAAGTTGAGAAGGAAGAAAAGGGAAAAAATGTGCTGACCTTGGGCAAAAATGCGAGGACTTACCTTTCTAACGAACTTACCTTTGCTTTGTTTAGCTTTTCTTCTTTTATGCAGGTTAAGCATGGAGAGATTGAGTTGATCATGGCATGTTCTATCCCTAAATCCATTGGTGAATATCAGAATTTTCATGGAGTTTGCATCTTAAGTGTAGTATCTCTTTACTATCCATTGATATTCAACTTCACCCATGAGCCTGCTTTGCTTGTTGGGAGGAGTAATAAGTTTCCAAAGGGAGTTCTTGCACTTGAATCTTATCCTATGCCTTCTTACCATTTTGCAACAAATGTTCCAATTGATGATCAATCTAATTAAGTTGATCACGTTCAAAGTGTTCTTCATTTTGCCAGTAGCATTATGGAGGATCCAAGAAGATGTGATCTTGCTGCTAATGAACTATACATTTTACCTTGCATCATGGAACCAAAGCTATATGCGTTATCTTCAAGGAGTCGTTGGAGTAAAGCCATGAGTTTTTTATGGCTAATTGTGAGCATTTTCAAGCTGACCAAGAGACATGTGCACTAAATTATAATAATCATGACGTATGCAAGTATCATTCATTCTAAGAGAGCCAATATGTGGAGATTTGAGGTTCATACTGCCAACTCTTGTTAGTACCTTTCATTTCCAACCACGATTTGAGGACAAATCTTTTTCAAAAGGAGGGGAATGATACGAAATATGGGCCGCTTATGGGCCATGTTTCGGGCTGCAAGAGAATGAATCTTTTAGTAATAGTCTAGTAGTTTATTTTTCAAACTTCTATTTTATTTGGTAGGAATAAGTTCGGTCCAAGACCTCATGTTGAGTTGGATCCGATTTATAGAGTCCAGGCTCATTATTACTTAAGCTGGTTAATTAGCTTTTATTGGGTTATGTTAGGCCAGCTTAAAGCCTTCATTGGGTCAATTATAAGCTATCCATTAGTTAGCCTTAACTGTGATAAGTGAGTCATTAGTTTAGTTGTCAAGTCGAATAAGGAAACTTGCATTGTTTCCAACTTAGATTAGGTTTGCTTCTTTGTAAGGCTATAAATAGCCAGGCTTATGATAATTTCTGTAGTTAGACAATTATGAATGAATATTGAGAGTTCCATCTCTTTCTTGTTCCTTGGGAACATCCCTTGATACAAAGTGAGTCGAATATCCTTTGTTCAAGTCTTAGCTTATCAAACAAGAATCACACTTGTTTGTGGCGCCGTTCTACCAAATTCCTTGGTTCGCTAATTCGTTAAGCCGCGAGTTGAGATCGTATCAAGAATGTTAGCAACTTAGAAGGCTAGAGTGGGTCGAAAGGAATTTCTGCCAACCAAATCTGGAAATTATCCATCAAGGTCTTGGGAATCATGAGGATGAATTTCACCAACATGGAGGAATTCGCTTCAACTGGTATCAAAGCTAGTTGATGGTTTTCCAGGTTATATTTTTTAGTTCCAGCCTTTGTGTCGTATTTTCCATTCGTAGTTGTGTCTTCGCCTTGTTTGTTATTCGGTTTAATCCAGCAAACAAAAAAAAAGTAAAACAAAACTGCTAGTGATCTTAGTTGTCGCGTCCTTATTGCTGTTTCTATTGAATCTTGTGCAATCTGTCCGTGTCTTGTTATTGTCGAATTTCTATTGAGTCTTGTGTGTAAAATCTGCTCATGTCTTGCTGTCATTGTTTCCACAGCTTGGGTCCAGCAATTTAAAGAGTCAGTCGGTATTGATTGTTGTGTCCTAAGTGCACACAAAACATTGGGTCACTCAGGTTTCCTGTGTTGCCACACTTGACATCGTTTCTTCTAATTGATACAATCTGTCCGAGTTGTTTCTTTAATTTTTTGTGCTTGTTTCTTGTTCAACGTCTTGTTATCTTATTATCATCGTCTTTGAGTCCCAAACCTGAGTCAAAAAAAAGAAAAAAAAAACAAAACAGAATCTGTTTGTCTGCACGGGCCTCAGCCACGTAATGACCCAGTCCGGGTTCCATTGGGTCCAGTCACGCGTGCACGGGCCAAACTCTTCAAAGAATCCCTCTAAACCCTTGTTCGCATTGTTCAAGACCAACATGGAATCCATAGAGATATTGAAGGCTTGGAAGGAAACAATCAAATCATCTACACCATGATCCAAACCCATGAAGAATCAAGTGGGCCTCCAAGAGAATTGGTTGAGTAAGGCCTTAGGCCTTAGTGTTTAATATAGTTGGATTAGTTATTTTAATAGAGCATGGACCGGCCCATCTTGACACCAAGATGGCCGAATGTTTCCCTTAGGGTTTTAGTAACCTTTAACCTATAAAAAGGCTTGCTTTGTAAGGTTTTAGGTAGACGTTTTATGAATAAAATTGCTTTGTTTTTCGACTTTCTTCCTTGTGAGAATTTCGAGCCTTAGTTGCTCTTGACAAGGGTGTTCGAGCAATCTTGCGTCTTGTCCTTGATTGTTCTACCGACCTATCCATTAGAGTAACCACCTCTGTTGGAGTCGTCGTTCTACCGCCTTCAATCAAATCGTGTCGTCCATTTTGATTCTAGGTCCCGCAACCAAGCGTTGGACAACCTTGCTAGATCATTGGACAAACGTGCTACGTGTCTCGAGACGAGTTGATCGAGGACCGTATCAGTTGGTTTCAGAACTTTGGTAAAGGTATTTTTCATTATATCCTTGTTTTTCGTAGTTTTGTCGTTAGGGTTAGTGTTATTTCCGCTGCATTATTCCAAAAAAAATCTATTCATTATCGTTGTTGCTCTTGTTGCGTCATTTTCATTAAAAAAATTCTATCCGCTTGTATTACTTCGTTGTCTTGATTCTGCCCGTGACGTTTGAGTCCAAATATGTCCGCCTTTGTGTCGTTGAACCTTGTTGCTAATCTGTCCGCCCTTGTTGCACATCTTACAAAGAAAAAATTTCTGTTCGTTAGTTGTTCATTGTTGTCGCATAGTAATCTGTCCAAAGTTGTTGTTGCTTTCTCGTTGAAAATTTATGGCCGTTTCGCATCACATCGTTGCTTCTAAATCTATCCGTGATTGTGTTGCTTGTTTTGGGTCAAATCTGTCCGTAGTCTTGTGCATTGTTTTTGTGTCAAGTTGGTTGTGGTTTGTACGCACTTGGAACGTACAAAATTCTGATGAGAGTCCCCAAACCTATTTTGGTTAGTTGGTCGTCGCTTGGGCAGCAAGAAAACCCACTCTTGCGCGGCTAGGGTTTGTGTTTCGCGCTAGGGTTCTTGTTTCCAATTCTGTCCAAGATTATTTCGGTTATCCAAGTTTTTTTTTTTAATAAAATTTCATTTTTTCTTTATTCCAAGTGTAGACAAAGCAGTTACAAGAGATTTGGAGAATGCTACCCCTTACTCAAGCACTAGTCTACAAGACGGGACTTAGGCGGCATCCATAGCAATATAGCCCCGAACCTCCCTAGGTAACAGCTGAGGAGAATCAAAAACCTTACTCGGACATCCCTGCAAAGCAGCTAACCTATCTGCAACCACATTTGCCTCTCGAAATATATGCGTAAACGACATAGCTACCTGATCCAACAAGCGACGAATCCGCCTTAGCACATTGCAATACAACCAACCTCCCAGCGCCGATGATTTGACTAAGGACACAAGTACCGCCGAGTCCACCTCCACTAGAATCCCTCGTATCCCCTTTGCCACACACATTAGGAGCCCCTCTAATACGGCCAAAGCCTCAGCCTGCAATACGCTTTTTTCCCCAAACTCCTTATAGAATGCAAAGATAACTCTACCATGTGAGTCCCGTAGCACTCCTCCTCCACTAGCCTTCCCGTTGACCACACTAGCATCCGTGTTCAGTTTGTACCGCAGGGGCGGGGGCGTTTCCCAAGTTACCACCACTGGTCGCCATTTACGGGCCATACTCGATGCTAACCGTGCCTACTCACAATCCCGGTCACTATGAAACTGTGCCTTATCCAGCATATTTGCTCGTCCCAAGTCATGCAAGAAGTTGCTTACTTCAACGATGACCCCCCGAGCCGAAAAGTCCTGCCCTTCGAACCTTGCCTTATTTCGTCCCCGCCATATGAACCATGTAACCACTAACGGTAGGACACACCGAATATGATGAGCAGGGATGTGGGACAGCAATGTGGCCCTCTTCCTCCACAGAAGCTGAATATCATCAGGAGGCCAGTGAAGAATGCCAAACATACTGGCAAAATGCCCCCAAACCTCTCTCGCTATTGGTCCATTAACGAAAAGATGTGGCAATGATTCCGCCTGCTCTAGACAACAGGAGCACCTGGATACCAAGGGTAGCCCTCTTCGTCGCATCATCGAGTCCAAGGACACAAAGTTGTTTAGTAGCCTCCAAACAAATAGTGAAAATTTCAACGGTGTACCCTTATTCCAAACCATCTTAGTCATTGAAAAGCCGCCCCGACGTTGTCGGCATAGCTCCCAAGCCGAAGTTAAGGAAAACTGCCCTGTCACCGACTTCGCCCACAGGATTTGATCCTGCCCATCAAGGTCGAACGGAATCTCCACGATCAAATCCACCAGATTGGCCGGGAGCCAGTGGAGAAGTCTGTCCCTATTCCATCCGTCCCTTCCAAGGAACTCCGCCACCAAAAAGTGAGGTCTGTCGCTCTCCGCCGGAATCAATGCACTTAAGGGGTCCAGCTCGCAACAAGTGTCTAACCAAAAATCTACCATTCCCGGTCTCAGACTCCATGAAATCTGCGCCTCCGCTACCTCCCGTATACCGAGTAATCGCTTCCATGTACCAGTCGGCCTTGCTACATCCGCCTGCAACGGGTATTGGTTCCCTATATACTTAGAGAACATAAAATCCGACCATAGGGATCCCCTTTGGCGTAACCTCCACCACAGCTTATAAGAGAAGGCTTTGACCATGTCATCCAGCAGCCTAACCCCCAACCCACCTTCCTCTGTGGGAAAATACAACTTCTCCCAGGATGCCCAATGCGTTCGTTTATCGTTCTTGGATTTATCCCATAAGAAGGAGTTGAATAATCTTCCCAGGGCAACTAAAACTGCCTTGGGGGGTTTAAGCACCTGTAAAAGATAGAGCGGCATCGAATTCAAGACATGTTTTATAAGAATTAATTTTTCCCCCATGGACAGCAACTTCCCACTCCAGTGGCAGATCCGTGCCCTCACTTTTGCAAGAATCCCATCGAAGGCAATAGAGGAACATCGGCCTAGGGAAATGGGGACACCAAGATAGACCAGTGGGAAGAATTGCCTCTGAAACCCTAGAATGCTAGACACCAGCTCCACCTGCGCCTTCGACACCCCAGACGAGCACATAAAACCACTATTTACTACATTGATCTTCTGTCCTGAATACTGTTGGTACTGTTTGAAGAAGTCCCTAACCGCTTCTAATGTCTCCCGCGCAAGCCTGGTAAAAATAATGACATCATCGGCGAATGCCAAATATGAAATCTTAATTCCGCCAGCCTGAAAAAACCTGTGTCTACCTTGCTGAAACAAAGAATAGAGCCCTTTGTCAAAAAATTCTGCAACTAGTACAAAGAGTCCTGGAGAGATTGAATCCCCTTGTCTAACCCCTCTCGTTGACTTGAAGAATCCAGCCGGCTCCCCATTGACTAACACGAAAAACCAATTATTGGCGACCAAACGAAAGATCAAATCGACCGCAGGTTCCTGAAAGCCAAACGATCTAAGCATGAAAAAGAGAAAGGACCACTCCACTCTATCATATGCCTTTTCCATATTGAGCTTTAACATGAGGTTCGGAACCTCCAAACGACGGTCCAGTTCTTTTGCATGTTCTTGCGTCAGGAGAATGTTATCCATTATTTGGCGGCCCGGGACAAAGCCAGACTGCCAAGGAGAGATCAGTTGGGGGAGGAGCTGATTCAACCTACTAGACACCAGCTTAGATATTATCTTGGAGCTAACATTACATAGGCTGATTGGCCGGATGTCTTGCCACCGAGAAGCTCCCTCTACTTTCAGTATTAACACGATTAATGTACTGGTTACTCCTTTTGGTAGCCACCCCCCTTTAAAATAATCCTGGATAGCAGCCACCAAACCATCCTTAATTATCTCCCAACACGCCTGGTAAAAACCTGACCCAAAGCCGTCTGGACCAGGGGCACTATCTGGACTGATCAAGAACACCACTTCTCGCACCTCAGTCATTGTTGGCAATGCCAGCAGTTTCTCATTATCCCCCGGAGACACCTGTGGGAGAGCGAAAGGCAATACTGGGTGCCGGTCAGTATCCCTATCAGAACTGAATAGCGACTCGAAGAATGATGCTGCTGAACTCTTAATGCCCTCTGCCTCAGTCAGCCACTGCCCCGTCGTACTCCGAATCCCAGAGATGTAATTTGAAGCCCACCTTTGCCGAACCACAGAATGGAAGTATGCCGTGTTCGCATCCCCCTCCTGAATCCATTTTATCCTTGATTTTTGACGCCAAAAACCACACTCAACGGCAATTGCTTCATATATGCCGCCCGAGCCTCATGGTAAGCAATCTTCATTGCCACAGTTCTCACCGTGTCATACTACATTTCTGCGGTCCGCATTTCCCTCTTTAGCTCTGCCACCCGGGTGCCAATATTCCTGAAAACTTCCTTGTTCCATACCCTCAGCTTGTTCCTCACCCCAACAGTTTTCGATAGAAATCTGACATCGTGTGTGACGGGCCTCCCCCTCCCCATGCCTCTTGAACGACCCCAAGAAAGGTACCTGAAGGCCAATCTCCCTTGCCTTCCTGAACCATACTTGATTACTAAAGGCGCATGATCTGACCGTCCCCTCGCCAGGTGCAACACTCGTGTCACTGTATACATCTCAGCCCACTCCTGGTTAATCACCACCCGATCTAATCGCTGCCAGACCGTCCCATTCGTCCAGGTGTACTTAGGGCCTTCGAATTCCACCGCAGTAAGACCACAATTAAACAGCGTCTGATTAAAATCCTCCATATTTCGTGCATTCGGTGGTGCCCCCCCCACAAGCCTTTCTGACGCCTCCGCGATGATATTAAAATCCCCAGCCAACATCCAGGATCCCTGTCTCGAAGACGCCAAACTTTCCATGGCACTCCAGAGCGGTCGTCTAGCTACCCAAGTGCATCGAGCATAGACTGCAGAGAAAAAGAATGAACCAACTGGAGAACTGATCTCCATATCCACTAACTGATCCGCTAACGTGCTAAAGGAGATGTTGAGGATATGGTCCTATAGTACCCAAATCTTACCTTCCACAAGGGAGATTGTCGATGTAAAACCAACCAATCTTTTGACATAATCTAGGCGGCCTTCCTCCAACATAGGCTCCAACAATACCAAAAGTTTCACATTATAGTCTACTTTTAGCTTTTTTAAATACCAGAGTGAATCCATCTTAGACGCATCCCGTATATTCCACACTAGAAAATTAATCGGTCCTAGCACTAGCATTAGAACGAAGGGCATACCTAGTGCGAGTTTCCCCTCCCCTTATGTTTGACCATGGAAGCCTGCCTATACGTGCCGTCTCTCCCATGTTGTCCAAGTGGGGCAACCGCTGTTCCTCTGTCGATTTATCCTCTGCGGAGCCCCTCCAATTCTGCTCCAACTTGCGCGAATGCTCCAACCGCTGTGTCAACTCCGCCTGCATGGCTTGTAGGTCTTGGTGCCTCAACTCTCTTGCTGATGCTCCACGAACTGGACTAAGCGATCTAGCACTCCTCAGATTGCAAGCTGGCCACCCATCAATCTCGTCACTCACCCTATCGAGGATCCCGAATGAGTTCCATAGCTGTACCGGCTCCACCGCTTTCTCCTGGACAGCCCCCTTACCCCCTGCCTGTGCCAGTACCAGCGCCTTTAGGTCCCTCATATCTATCTCCCCCTCTCCAGCAATAGCCATTGACGCCTCGCTTCCCCCCTCCTGCTCCTGCCCAACACCTTCCGCCACTGCCATTGCACTTCCTGCCGAGGCCCCAACATCTGTCTACCGCGGCAGTGGGTCTTCCCCCGTTGGTTGCAACCCCTCTGCCAGACTCTTCCCTTTATCCTCCCACCCCTCAGGCTGCCCCTAAACCAAAACCAAGGCCTCGGCCCCTCCAACTCCTCCCGCCTCTCCATCTATCGTCAACTGATGCATATCCCACCGCACATCATCCCCCTACCGCTTTGTCCATGTGGGCCGAGGGAGTGTCTGCTGTGGGTGCGAACTTTTGTTAGGTTTCAGCGCTGGGTTCTTCTTGAAACATTGCTGCTGATCGTGGCCAAACCGCTCACAGAAATAACAAAACTCTGGCCAGTTTTTATATTCAACATTCTGCCAGAAGCCGTACTCTTCCTTCCCTATCCAGGTTATCCAAGTTGTTTTATTTAATTTTTTTAATCTGGTTTTTGGTTAAAAACTTGTTGGGGTTGAGAATCTTGAAGAGAATCTACAAGATTTTAAGGTTTTTGAAGTTCTTAGTTTCTACCTTGAAGTTCTTGAAACCTTGAAACGTATCTTGCTAGTTCTTGAAGGATTGAAGGAGTGCATTAAAGAGCCGACCAGATTGCTGGAATTTTACTCATTCGGCCAAGTCTTTGAGTTGTTCTTTAAGTCAAAAGAAAAAAAAATAGAAACGAAAAGAAAAGAAAGAAGAGCATTCGGGTGGCACAAGAAGAAGCAAAGGGAAGTCGAATTTTATTGCCTAAACCAACCTTACATCGTCACTTTGTTACCAAAAACAGAAAAGTGCACAAGAAAAAGTGCTCAAAAGTTTTGACCCACCTCTTCTTGAAATTCTTGATCACTTTGAGCCTTGATCACTTGAACCACCCTTCGAGATTCTTGAATTTCTTGACCACCTTGTTTCTTGAAAACTTGAACCTCCCTTCGAACAAACAACTTCCTATACTCCCTAGCGGTGGTGAAGGACTTTCTTGGTTTGGGAGTAAATTTCTTGGGAGGGACTTGAGCAACTTGTGGGGAAGAAAGTTGTGAGAGATCACTTACCTCTTCTTGTTGGGACCCCATACCGAGACTATTGGAGTGTGATGCGCAAGGAAGGAACAATCGACTTGCTTGCCTCTTGAGAGTACAAAGACCGAAACTGATTTGTGCATGAAAGTGCGGCTGTGAAACAGGATTTAAAGAGACCCAACCGACCTTGGTGAGAGAATATTGGAGGAGAAAAAAAATCTGGAAAATTCGGTGGACAAGAAAGAAACCAAATCTGATTTGCAAGTCCACTTGGAGAGGAATTTGGGAGTTCTAAAAGTTGTTCAAGAGCGGGTTTGCTAAAAAGTTTCCAAAATCACTTTAGGAAACTAAATAAAACACTTGGATAACTCTTTTGTTTTTCACTTGGCTACTTCCCTTCTTTCTTTCCTACGTTTTAGGAAACCACCCCTACATTTTAGGAATCTACTCCTACATTTTAGGAAACTAGGGTTTCTTTGTCCTTGTGTTCATATTGGTGCCTTTCCCTTGCTGTCCGCCCCCTATCTTTTACAAATTTGCTCTTTCTACTTCATTCCCTACTACTATTTGTGTTGTGCCTACTTGATTACTCTTGTGGAAAAAGTTGGTGACGATTAGTGGATTCGAGCAGCATTTCTCACCTACCTATACCGACAAGAAAAGGTATTGGGTAAGATCTTTAATGAGTGTTTTGAGTGATAAACATAAGAGAGAGTGATACAGTAAAGGAGTGAAGTGAGGATATACTTGCATTATTTTCCGTGTTACTAACCTTTGCGGGGCATAAAGAGGGACATGGAGCAGCAACACCCAACCGCAGACTACTCCTTGATGTTCATCGCCATGAAGAACGAGCTCAGGCGAATCAGTGAGCAACAAATGGAGGAGTTGCACTCTCGGTTTGACGAGCTATCCCAGAGTCTCACACGAGTCTCCTGTTCAAGGTCTCACAACCGGAGTAACCATGGCACTAAAGAGGCAAATAGCGAGGGCTACTCCGCTAGTGAGGATGAGGAACGACCCAAGAAGCCTAGAAGGGACATGTCTAAAAACGAACTTAAGGGCTTTAAAATTCAAGTGCCCGTGTTCAAGGGCAAAAGTGACCCTGAATCTTACTTGGAATGGGAAGGCCGCATCGAGATGGTCTTCGACTGCTACGATTATAGCGAGGAACAAAATGTGAAAGTTGCTACCGTTGAATTCACCGACTATGCCCTAGTCTGGTGGGATCAAGTGAGGACCCATAGGAGGAGAATGGGAGAACCACGAGTCCAAACTTGGTGAGAACTCAAGGCATTGATGCGTAAAAGATTCATTCCAAGCTACTACAATCAAGATCTCCACTCCAAACTCCAAACCCTCATTCAAGGCAACATGAGTGTGAAGGACTATTACAAGGAGAACGAGATGGCCATGATGAGGGCGAACATTCAAGAAGATGGTGCAGTGACCATGGCCAGGTTTCTTAGAGGCTCAACCCTAACCTTCAAGAAGCCTTGGAGCTCCAACATTATTTGAACATCCATGACCCTCTTGAACTAGCCATCAAGGCCGAGAAGGGAAAGAAATTGAGGCGTGGGACCCGTACCTTCCAAATTTCCAACTCACCGTCCTGGAAAGGAAACCTACCACGGAAAACAACCCATGAAATTGGAAATTCAGCTACACCAACTCCTTCTAGCCGAATTCAAGGTAATGCTTCTAACCGTAATGCAAATTTTACTCCTAACAATGCTCTTGATGCATCCAGGTCTACTTCTAAGGCATCGCATGAGATTTCTAAGACTAGAAGTAGGGACATCAAGTGTTTTAAATACCAAGGATTTGGACATATTCAGTCTCAATGTCCCAATCAAAGGGTCATGTTAATCACTTACAATAGCGAGGTCGTATCCGATGATGACAATTGTGAGGAGATACCTGGATTGATCAAAGGTGACTGCTTGGAGGAAGACTCGGCGGAGGAAGATTGCTCTCCTACACAAGGAGAAGTAGATTGCTTGGTGGCACGACAAGTGCTAACCACCCGAGTTAAGGAGGACGAGCAACTATAAAGGGAGAACTTATTTTACACTCGTTGTAAAGTAGGTGACAAAGTGTGTAGCCTCATCATTGACGGTGGGAGTTGCACGAATGTGCCAAACTTGCTTATGGTTAAGAGTTTAGGGCTCCCAACTACTAGACATCCACACCCTTACCGCCTCTAATAGCTAAATGAGGATGGAGAGGTACGTGTCTTCAAACAGGTACGTGTTCCCTTCTCAATTGGTACTTACATTGATGAAGTCGTGTGTGACGTAGTGCCTATGCATGCTACACATGTCATCTTGGGGAGATCCTGGCAATTTGACAAACATGTCACATTCGATGGAAGGGCAAATAAGTACACACTTTTGCATGATGGCAAACGTAAGGTCCTCACACCACTCACACCTGCACAAGTGTATGAGGGCCAACTTAAGTTGTAAAAAGAATGTGAACAGGATTGTCAAAGGAGGAAACAAAAGGCAGTCGAGCCTGGCAAAAGCTCCCCTTCTACAAGTGAGCAATCGACCAAGGGTCAAGTGAGCACACCTAGTGTTACGCATGACAATTCACCCACTACACCTACCATTAGGAAGCAAAACATGATCATTAAGGCTAAGGACGTTAGAAAAGTTGTGAATTCTGATCAGCCTGTACTTCTCATGATTTGCAAGTATGTGCTCTTAGATGTTGCTGAATTCGATAAGGCATTACCTTCGAGTATAGTTGCTCTTTTACAGGAATTCGAGGATGTGTCCTCTAATGAGGTCCCTGATGGTTTACCACCCATTCGAGAGATTGAGCACCAAATAGACCTGATTCTTGGAGCACCACTACCCAACAAACCGGCTTACCGCATGGGTCCAAAGGAGACAAAGCAGTTTTAACGACAAGTTGATAGCCTATTAGGTAAGGGTTGGGTAAAAGAAAGTCTAAATCCTTGTGTTGTGCCTGTAATACTTGTCTCCAAAAAAGATGGTACTTGGCGCATGTGCACTGACTGTAGGGCCGTCAATACTATTACTGTTAAATATCGTCATCTCATTTCTAAACTAGATGATATGCTTGATGAACTCGATGGTGCTATTATATTCACTAAAATTGATTTAAAGAGTGGCTATCATCAAATTAGGATGAAAGAAGGCGATGAATGGAAAACAACCTTCAAAACTAAACATGGTTTCTATGAGTGGCTAGTCATGCCTTTTGGATTGACTAACGCCTCTAATACGTTCATGCGGTTAATGAACCATATCTTGAGGCATTTCATTTGAAAATTTGTCATTGTTTAACTTGATGATATTCTAATATATAGTCGCAGTGAACATGAGCACATGGAACATTTGATACTAGTTCTTAGTACACTTCAAGAGGCGCGTCTATACGCCAACCTTAAGAAGTGCACCTTCTG